CTCACTACGCCTCTAGAGCGAGAACCCGGAGCCACGGCCTCCGCATAGCATTTTTGTTTAATCCTCTGAGGACATTTTTCCATTTTTTGTTCAGATAGAGTGGGAGGGAAAGAGAGGAAGAGAGAGAGAGAGAGAAACATCGATGTGAAAGGGACACATCGAGTGGCTGCCACCCGCACGACCAACCAGGGCCGAGGTCAAACTGCAACCTTGTACATGCCCTTGGCGGGAACCGAACCCGGGCCTCTCTGGACCACAGGCTGATGCTCTAACCGCTGAGCCAAACCGGCCAGGGCCAGCATAACATTTAAAGAGGCTTCTACTCTGGGCCAAACCTTGGTAGTAGGTGACACCATGTCCCTTGTCCTCCCAATTGGCTTGTCCGATGCCCATCAATGGATGCGTCAGTGGACCCAGTTCTGAATTGGCCGTGATGCTGAATTTTCCCCCCAAACGTTTGCTACTGCCTCCAGGCAGCCCTACTCTCACTGTTAGCTCTTGAACGGAACGGACCTTCCTCCTGTGGTGCCGCCCCTCTGTCTGCACCTCACTCGGTCCCATCAGACCAGTGGTTCTCAACTGGGGGGACATTTCCTCCAGGGCTCAATTGGCAGTATCTGGAGACAATTTTGGTAGTTACTCCTGGGGGAGTGGCACAGTACCGGCATCTCATGGGATGTTGCCTACATCCTACAGGGCACAGAACAGCCCCCACAACACAGAACTACCGGCTCAAATGTCAACACCGACACGGAGACACCCGCGTTAGGTGAGGCCCGAGAAGTCAGGGAGTGACTGGGAGGCAGGCAGACTGTTCTTCCTGACAAGGGGCGCTGTCTGCCCCACAGCCCTGGCCCCCTGACTCACTCCTCCTGCTCCTCTGAACACCCAGCCCAGGGCCCAGTTCCTGAACAGACCCGGTCACACTGCCAACAATGCATCAGTTTAATTGGGTTAAGTGGCCATTAGCGGCAAAAGCAGGGCGGCTATGTGCAGAAGGGTTTTTAATTTTACTCTTTAAATGATGCTCGCTCCCCAGAGAGGCCACTGATGGTGGGAACACTGCCCACTGGAGCCCCCAGTACTAGGGCTGCAGCAGCACCCCTGTCCCATCCATCTGGGCCACGTGGGGATGGGTTGGGAGGGGTGCTCAGTGTCTTGTCTCCACTGTCCAAGGAAGAAACTGTGGGGGCAGGGACTTACCCAAGGTCACTAGGTAAGCCCTTGCCAGAAGAGACCAGAACCCCATCTACCCTGTGGACAGCAAATGCCAGGTGGCCACTGGTGGCAGCACAGAGGAGGGCAGAGTTGGGGGCAGTGGGAGGGGTCTGGAGCCCAGCTGACTGATCTAAAGCCTGCTTCTGCTGGGAGGCCTGGGCCAATGGCTTACACTCTGGGGCTCAGTCTCCTCAAATGTGAAATGGCTGGTAGGGAGGATGTGGGGGGACCTGGCATGGTCCAGCTCATTTTAGGCCGGGCACATGGCAGGCAGTCAGACAGAGACCAGTAATCACGGGAAGGAATTATTTCTGCCATTTCAGGAGAAACATCCCAAGCTCTGAATCAACACAGAACCATCTGTGGAGCGCTAACGCACACCGAAGCCCCACCCCAGCCCACAGGGTCTGACGGAACCGGGCTGGGCCGGGCCTGGGCATCATGGTTTCCAAGCTCCCGGATGACCCTAGTGCGCACGCAGGTTACAACCCTGCAGGAAGGCACAGCATGTGGAGGTCCGGCCCTCGGGACGGTGGGACGTCGTGCCTGAGGTGGAGCACCGGGCATCGGGGAGTGGGGGGAAGGGCAGAGCTAAGGGGCTGAGGTCTCTAGGTCCTGGGTCCTCAGCCAGGCTCCCCTCTCCACTACCTCCGGCTTGTCTGAGGTCGGAGGCGAAAGGCCCTCCTCGAGAGCTGACGTCTCATCACCACTGATGTCTCTCAGAACCTGCTCTGGCCCCGGGCTTCCCGTTCTGCAGGACCTAAGTCCACTGAGCCGCAATGCCTGGGCCTTGTCCTTGAGAGGAGGCCAGAATGCCCCGCACTGGGGTCACTCCTCACCTATCCAAGTCGGTGCCTCACCCATGGCCTCGCCTCTGACCCGATCCCCACAGCAGAGGTGCCAGGGATGGTGCCAAAGGTGGCACAACCTTCAGGAACATTGTTTTTTTCTGTGGCGTTTAGAATGACGGCCCCTGGGGCTGTGAAATCAGAGGCACGAGGCAGGAATGGTCTCATGTCCCCATTTTACAGAGGGGGAAACTAAGGCCAGGGAGGGAACGAGAGCTCCGCGAGGGCACCCTAGCACCGCTCTGCACACAGTAGGTCCTTAGCCAATGGAGGAGGACTACGACCATGAGGCGATGGCCTTTCTGAGAGAGGGGCTGGGTGCCAAGCCCCCAGCTGGGAGGACCGGAGAGTCCTGCTTTGGGTCCAATCTGCCTCCTATAAGAAGTAGGCATCTCCGTCCCACTCCTGGTACTCCACAGCACAGGCCCTGGCTCAAAGGCCCATCTCCCAGCGGTGGGGGTTCCTAGAGAGGTCCCTTCCCTGTCTCCAAAGCTGAGGCCCCAGCAGGTTTCCCAGACCGGGGACTGCCGGTTGCCTGTGTGGCAAAGCCCCGGCCTGGCCTGCGCCTGCCTCACTCTTGGCCCCATAAACCACCCTGTTCAGCTTGGAGAAGCTCCTTACAAACATCTGATTGTCCCTGATTAGATGAGACAATGAACTCCTGTCCTGTGCTGCTCGGTTCCCTCTTTGCAAGACCCAAATTAAAATTCCAGACCAGAACAAGAGGATTTAAATGGGATTACTGGATGGGGTCCAGAGAGAGAGCAACAACGGAGTGGGCCTGGAGGTGCCCAGACCCTCATCCCTCCTTCCGTGTGGACTAGGCCGTAAACAAATGTGGGAAAGGAGAAAAGGGCCAGACCTTGATTAAAAGCAAATTTAAAACATAATTAAGCCCTGGCCGGTTTGGCTCAGCGGTTAGAGCGTCAGCCTGCGGTCCTGAGAGACCCGGGTTCGGTTCCCGCTAGGGGCATGTGCCTTGGTTGCAATTTGTCCCCGGCCCTGGTTGGTCGTGCGGGTGGCAGCCACTCGATGTGTTCCTTTCACATCGATGTTTCTCTCTCTCTCTCCGTTCCTCTCTCTCCCTCCCACTCTATCTGAATAAAAAATGGAAAAGTGTCCTCCGGTGAGGATAAAAAACAACAACAACAAAAAAAAACATAATTAAGACCAAAGCTCATCTTGAACAATTAAGACCAAGGTGGGAGGAGGATGGTCCTCCCCTGCTCCGGGGATGCGGACAGGAGCCAGGGGGCGCTGCAGCAGGGACTCCGCTGGCCAGGAGAGTGCCGGGAAGGTAGGGCTGTGGGCTCTGAGTTCACCTCGGAAATAATGTGGGGAGTCGAGGGCCTGGCTTAGAGTCCTAGTGACCTGGATTCGAATCCTGGCTCTGCCACGTCCAGGCCCGATGCATGGCACCTCTGAGTCTCAGTGTCCCCTCTGTGAAGTGGGCTCCCTCACGAGGCTGCCGTGACAATGGCGTGCGACAGGCTCCGCACATGGTGAGTGCCTGATCAGTGAGCGTCCCTTCCTATCGTTCCTGCACTGAATATAATCTGTACAGTGCTGCTGCGCACCAGGCGCGGCTGGGCTGCTGAAGTGGAAGGACACGGACACCTGCCCTGCCTCTCGGGGCAGGGCCTGGCATGCAGCGCAGGGACAGAGTCCTCTGGGTCCACAGTGGCTGGGAGGCTCTCCCTACTCCATGGTCCAGGCCACACAGGGGCAGGCAGGGACCCGAGGCGGACAGCGGGGCCCAGCTCCTGGATCTCTCCTGGGGCCTGGATGTGCTGGAGGCTTAGGCCGGCGGGCTGCCCTGACTTGACTCTGCCAGGACCCTCGCCCGAGCCTGCACATGGCTCACGTGGGCTTGCTCATCTGTTTTGGTTTTAAATAGCTTTATTGAGATATAATTCTTATACCATAAAATTCACCCACATACAGAATACAAGTGTTTTTTTTTAACATATTCAGAGTTGCGCAGCCATGACCACACTCTAATTCTGGAATGTTTTCATCACCCCAAAAGAAACCCTGTATCCATTAGCAGACACTCCCTCCCCCCCTTCCAGCCCTAGGACACCACTGTGTACTTTCTGTGTCCACAGTTGGCCTGTTCTGGGCAGTTCACAGGAATGGGGTCACGAGATAGGTGGCCTTTCGTGACTGACTTCTTCCACTTAGTATAATGTTGGCAAGTCTGTGCCCCTTGCCACGTGTGGGTCCCACACTCCCCTCCTTTCTACCGGGCAATCTTTGATCTGGCACTTGGCTCCCCGCCCATTCCCTGCAGAACCTGCTCGAAGCCCCTCGGCTGGGCCGGGCCAGCTGTGTACTGGTCAGGGCAGCCCGGCAGGTTCTTAACTCACAGAACCACTGTGTCTTGGAGCTGACAGGCCAACCTCTCTGAGTGCAGAGGAGACACCGAGGCCAGAGGGAGGCAGGGGAACGTTCACAGTCATGGGCAGAGCAGAAACTGCGACCCCAGGCATCACATGGCTACGGCTTTCTCTGTGGGGCTTTCCGGTTCCCTCACACCCCCTCCCGATCAGGGCCAGCAGCCCACCCTCCAGCCGCCAACAGGTCACTATCCCCGCCAGGTGCTCACCCAGGGCACACTCACAGACAAAGCAGTGCGGTCAGGGAACCCGGGCCTAACAGGAGGGAGCGGTGGACTCTGCCTGGGCTCCACCATCATGCCCACACAGGGTCCCCACGACCCCAGGTCAGCTCTCATGCAGCCTGCTCCAGACAAAACCAACCTGCTCCTGCCACAGCGGCCACAGTCCACGTGGGCCCGCCTGCCAGGGACGGCCCAGCCTGAATGCAGAGGGCAGGCGGGCTGTGTGTTCTCGGGAGGTTAGGACACAACCCTCAGGGGGCAAGGCCTCTCCGCCAGGTCCTCCCTCCCTCAAGCCTGACACTCGCACGTACCTTCAGGGCCTGCACCTTCCTGTCCAGCAGGCTCTCAATATCCCCGGCCACCTTCTCCACCAGCTTCTGAGGCTCATTCTCCTGCACCTCAAACAGATTCCGGTTGTCCTTGTAGATCTGGAAGGAAGCAGAGCCGGCGTGAGGCCAGGTGGTCGCACAGTACAGTCGTCATCTCTCTCCTCGCCCCTGACCTTGCTCACAGACAGCGCACAGGGGTCTGGGAGCTGGGTCCGGTGCTCTCCTGGACGTGGAGGAAGGACATGGTCGTCGGCTCCACAGTGGCACTGGTTGTGGTTAGTAGGACGGGGTTATCGCTGCCGTCTCTGGAACTCAGGGTCCCTCCTCCAGGGGCCATAGCAGCAACCCCCTGACGAGCTCAGAGTGGCTGAGAGCAGCGGAGGGGAAGGTGGGCTGGACAGCAGGCAGGGCGTGGGGGAGGGGAAGCAATAAGCACACAGGGTACACCACACACCAGACAGCAGAGATGCTGTCACACTCATACGTGTACACACACCTGTACACTCCCACATGCAGCACACACAGCCACCCCTCCGCACGGGCTCAGGAATTTATACCCTGATTTGCTGGTGCGGCCCCAGGGCATTTGTAGAAACTGTAGCAGGAGCTCTGGGTGCCCCCAGGGGATCCTCTGTCATTCAGGGCACAGACTATGGGAGGAGGGACCAGGGAAGAAGGGGTACATGGAGAATGAATCTGTCCCTCCCTCCACCTTGGGGGGCGGGCCTGTGCACACAGGCAAGTGGGGGTGTAAATCTGACAGTCTGCGTCTGCGTGAGCGAGTGTGTGCTATGGCTCAACATACCTCCACCCGTGCCCGTGCCTGCGTGCTGGGGGCGGGGTGGGGCTAGGAGAACAGAGCCTGGGGCTTGTATGTGAGCCGTAGAAGCAGATCTGTGGGCGGTTCTGTTCATGGCTGGAGTCTTGGGGAGCGCGCGCGTGCACATAGGTATGGACTGTACACCCTGCATGTGCCTGAGCCTGCCTGGACCCGTGTCCATCCAGGTGACCCCAGCAGGTGCCGCCAGGACGGAGCCCCTGCCACCAGGCTGTGCCATCAGGCCGTGCAGGAGAGGGATGTGGAGAGACGGAGGAGGTGATGGGGAGGAGATAAGGAGGTAGGAGAGGCAGCTGATGAGAGACAGACAGGAAGAGAGATAAGGCTGGTAGAATGACAGAGGGGCGAGGGGAGATAAGGCCTCAGACATGTGACGGGGGAGCAGGCGGGGGCCTGGGGCCTCCAGAGCCCCTGCCCACGCAGCACCCGGCAGACCAAGGGTTAAAGCTCCGCACAAAGCCAGCTCGGCAATCTCCTCCCGCCCCCTCCCTCCTGGCTTCTTTTCTTTTCGTCCTTCTCTTAGAACAAAATAATTTGTGGCTGAAGCTGCTCCTTCCCACAGAGCACTGGCGATTAGAGGGCGAGTTGCGGGGCCTGGACGTTCAACCAGGAACGACGGGGCCCGAGCGGACACCAGGTCAGGCTGTTCCCTAGGTCCCCGGGCCCTGCCTCGGGTCAAAGGGCCCCAGATGGAGACAGAGGTCAACGAGGGTCAGAGCCTGGAAGTCTTTAAGAAGCAGGGAGCCCGGAGCCCAGTGCCCACTGTTGGGGAAACAGGCTCAGAAACAGGAGAGGACAGATCGAGGACAGATCAAGGACATATGCCTATGAGTGGCAAAGCCAGGCCGCCCATCCTCCCTGACCCCTCGTGCCCAGGTTTCAGGACATTCAAAACACACCCTTTCCCCATCTTGGACTGCGCACCTGGGTGTGTTTCGTCCACTGTCTCAGCCACACTGGCTGAAGCCTTGGCTGAGCGCATCCCACCCCACTTGTGCCAGCAGGGGGCGCAGCTGCCTGGCTGCTCCGGGCATGGGATGAAGTTCTCATACCTGATGCCTCAGTCAAGGTCATTCCCAGGTGCCCCTATCAGGAGCTGTCCATAGCAGCAGCTGGACCATGTGGCCTGCTGACAACTGTCCCTCTCCGCCGGGTCCAGGGTGTCCCTTGCAGCCTGGCACAGTGACGGCTAGGGCAGCACCAGGGAGTGGGTCTCCAGGTGGCAGTGTCACATCCCAGAGCCCTAATAGATTGCACAAGGGCTTGAAAGTAGGGAACCCGCCAAGAGTCACCCCATCTCTGAACTTCTGTTTGATCTACTAAATGAGAGGACAGAAGTCCCCACGTCACAGGCCAGCCCAGGATGGCAAGGAGCCTACACTATTGTCGCTATTGCTATTGTTAGTATCACCAGAATCTTGCAGAAGAAATCCCGGTCCCCTTCCTGCCTCCACTCTCTTCCTGCTAGATTTGCACTCAGGATCCAAAGACACGGACTCCCACTACTGGGCTGACAGCCTCAGTCTCCTGGGGTCTGCCACCTCCAGCCCCACCCCTCCTCCCTGGTCTCCTTGGGCAGTCCCTCCCAAGCCATCCGGTCCTTGTCTCTGACACCTCAGCCTGGGTCCTGGAGGTGACGACAGGGGAGCCAGACACAGGGACGCCACCGATAGGGCAGAGGCATCGCCAGCTCCCTTCCATCTCGCCCAGCACCGGGCCCGTGTGCAGGGGAGGCTCGGCAGTGCACGCGCCCGATGCCAGGGTGGGGGCGGAGCTCTGGGGCCAGCTGGACCAAGGTCTGACTTCTCCATTTCTCCTGCAGCTCTGCTACCCCTTGGAGGCTGGGCTGCATCTGCCATGCTCTCTTCCTGGCCCACTGTACCCAAGGACCCATCGGGACACCTTCTGCCAGCCCAATGACCTGGCACCTTCAGGCCTCTGGATCCCCAGCCCCAGCTGATTCTTACTGCTTGGCCTTTCCCTGTCTATCTAAATCCTCCAGGGTGGGAAATGAGTTAGGAGTTTCTGGGGAGATGAGGGCAGAACCCTAAAACTGCATGGGCTGGTCCAGCTACCAGCCAAGCCTGTCCCCCAATCCCAAATGAACCCCTGGGGTGCCACAGCCCCCCCTTCATTCTATCCCAGGTGCCTCAACCCTCTCTAACATTTTCCTGGCCCCCTGCTCCAGTTGCCTCTGTCCCCTGGGTGGGCCCTGAGCTGAGCCTATGTCTCAGGGAGATCCAAGGGACAGCCCAGCAGATGGTCCCACCTGGGAGATAGGTCATCCCTCCATTCATGCAATTCGGGGGTGCTTTCCACCTGTAGGCCCATCAGGAAGCCCTGGGGAGCCCAGAGCAGCTCCAGAGCATACCCAGGGCAGGCTCCCCTTGAGCCCCAGCTTCAAGCCCTGGTCCCTGGGGCCAGCTCAGAAGGAACAGACAGGCCAGGGCGCACCGGGTGCAGGGCCTCAGCAACTGCAGCAGGACTACATGTCTGCTGGCGTCCTTGGCCCCGAAAGCTAACTGGAAAAACCCAACAGCTCCCACCGCAGTGCAGCCTGCACGGCCCCCACCTCTGCACAGGCAGCTGGACCGCGGAGAGCCGGGGCCGCAGGTCTGCGAGTCAGTGTAGCTCCGCGCTCGCCATGATGGGAAGGAAGAGACGGGCTCACCCCACAGAGGAGAGGAGGAATGGCAGGGGACAGGCTACAGCGAGGGCACAGGCTGGCTGGAGCCAGGGGGGCCCAGGGGGAGGTTGGGAGACACAGCGGCACAGGGGCTGAGGACAGGAAGAGCAAGGATGCCTGAGGTCCAGAGGGCCAATTCCGGAGGCAGTTTGTACCTTCTCATTCCCAGGAGCCCCTGCTCCCCTCATCCCGTATCATGTGTCCATGGCCACCACTCACCTGGGTGTCTTCCTCCCCTTGAGGCTACCCCTTCCCAGTTATTGAGACCTGCCCCTGCCCCCCAACCCCACCCTCTTTCAGCTCCAGTAATTTGTTAAGCAGCTTGTCTGGCAGCCTTTTGGCCGAGGGATTTCAAGGTTCCGTGGGGCCGAGCTCTGCCCACCCCCTGCTTCGCGGGGCGCCTTCACTCACAGGGGAGGCTAGCCTGAAGGACACGGGGAGGGGTGGTGGCCCTGGAGAGGAAACCTGGGGCAGGGGCAGAGGGAACCAGCCGGGTCCCCACAGCCTTCAGTAGTCCTGCTGGGAGAGGGGACCGGAACACAGCCACCACGGACAAGAGGTCCCAGGGGCCCGGACAGGCCCCAGCATACTGAAGAGCCAGCAGCAACCTGCCCAGGCACAGGAGGAAGGTGCAGGGAGAGGAGAAGGGAGGTGAGGAGGGGAAAGGGGGGAAGCGGGGCCACGGAGGCCACAAGACAGCCCAGTTCCCCGAGTGCAGGCTCTGGCCGCCCTGGCGCAGGGGTATGCCCTGGACGTGCCGACCCGGCAACCCGTGGAGAGACCCTTCAGTTAGCAGCCGGGACACTGAGGGCCCGAGAGGGTAAGTTCCGCAGCAGAGCTCAGAACTGAACCGGTCTGTCTGACCCACCGCCCTTGCTTTAGGCCACACTCTGTAGTTCCGTTCCTCGCGTTTATCCCCCGACTTGAAGGCGAGGCCTCTGGCAAAGTGGGCATGTGGGATAAGCTGGGGGTTTGGTGGGTCTGAAAATGGCCTGGGGCAGACCCAGGGTGATGCTGAGCGCCTGGGGCCTGTGGAAGGCAGGAGGGCCATTCTGGAAGGGAGCAAGGGGAGGATGGCAGGACCAGCCTGACCAGCTAGCCAACCACCGACCGTGTGTGGAAAACAGGCAGGACCAGCCTCTCCTCTCTGCAGCGAAGGTGAACGGGCCTTAATCTCTGGAAAATTAAATCAGAAAGAAAATGGAACGAGAAAGATTTGATGCAGGCTGGGCCCTGCTGCGGGCTGTCTCCTCAAAGGCCCAGACTTAGCTGGGGGTTCAGCTGGGTGCTCCAGCATCCCAGACCCTCCCAGGGTGCCAGGCAGGGCAGAGGCAGGGTGGGGAGCATTGAGCCCCACACCCTGACCCCTGGCAGATTTCCTGTTCTCCAACTCCCTCTAGCCATGTCTCTCTGTCTGGTCCCTGGTCTCAAATGAAGTAGCTGCTGGGGGTCTAACTGCCCAGCCCTCATGCCAACAGGTCTCTAGAGAGAGCAGTAAGTGGACTAGAGATAGTGGGCTGGGCCTCCCTAGGCCGGCCTGCATGGGCAAACACTGGAGGTCACAGGGTCTGGGGA